GATTCTCCTGCCTCAGCCTCCCGAGTAGCTGGGACTACAGGCACGTACCACCATGCCCGGCTGATTTTTTTGTATTTTTAGTAGAGATGGGGTTTCGCCATGTTGGCCAGGCTAGTCTCGAACTCCTGACCTCAAGTGATCCGCCTGCCTTGGCCTCCCAAAGTGTTGGGATTACAGGCGTGAGCCACTGTACCCAGCCTGAATATATATTCTAAAATCTAGATTTATGTTTTTTGGGGATCTAATTATTTTTTATAGGTATAACTTTGGAGAAAGAACAACGACCAATATTTATCCTGGTTTTTTAGTCAATTTTAGACATTAGCGTTCTAAACTAAATTTCTCTTTCTTTTTAGGTTTGTCCAAGACTGGTTTTCAGAAAGGAAGCAAGTGGCCAAAGTGGATTTCTCTACAGTGTTACCACGCTTCATTTCTCTATACATCTTTTCCTTTCTGAGTCCGAAAGATCTGTGTGCAGCCGCTCAAGTCAGCTGGGCCTGGAAGTTTTTAACTGAACAGGTTCACTACTTGTCACTTCCCAGTAATCGGGCATGAGTACAGCTGTAATCTGTAACGAGGGTACCGGGGTAGCTCCCTTCCCTGAAGACAATAGCTGAGGGCACCCGATCCATCGTTAACTTACCCTGGAGAGAAAAAATGGGGATAAGTGAAAAACAATAATGTATTTCTGAAAATAAAGAAGGAACATAGACTAGTCCAAAAATTCATGTTACTTTAAAAAATCTTTAGTCGGGTGTGGTGTCTCAGGCCTGTAATCCAAACACTTTGGGAGGCTGAGGCAGGTGGATCATGAGGTCAGGAGTTTGAGGCCAGCATGCCCAAGATGGTGAAACGCTGTCTCTACTAAAAATATAAAAATTAGCTGGGCGCAGTGGCAGGCACCTATAATCCCAACTATTTGGGAGGCTGAGGCAGGAGAATTGCTTCAACCCGGGAGGTGGAGGTTGCAGTGAGCCGAGATGGTGCCATTGCACTCCAGCCTGAGCAACAGAGCAAGACTCTGTCTCAAAAAAGAAAATCTTTAAATACAGTACTCAGAATAATTATTTAGAGAACATTTTATCTTGGTTAAAAAAGTTCACTTTTCTTCATGAAAAATTATTTACGCTTTAGGTTTTGCATATTATTTTATCTCTAATAACTCAGCGCTAGAAACTGCTACCCGACCACTGCCTCAACTGACCCCTTACTAACACCTGTTAAAGAACATACATTGAGATCGGTTCACAGCACTTGAAAGCCGTTAACAGTAGCAGCTGTTTAAAATCAACGTCCTTTGCCATTAATTCTGCCTCTGACGTCTTTGTTTCTTCATTTTCTTGTAAAATATTTTTAAAAATGTAATGATACACGTACTTGTTTGTGAGACAGGATCTCATTCTATTGCCCGGGCTGGAATGCAGTGGTGCTATCTGGCTCACTGCAACCTCTGCCTCCCAGGCTCAAGCAATCCTCCCACCTCAGCCTCCCAAGTAGTTGGAATTATAGATATGCACCGCAACACCCAGCTAATTTTTGTATTTTTAGTAGAGATAGAGTTTTGCCATGTTGGCCAAGCTGGCGAACTCCAGGGCTCAAGAGATCCACCCATCTCGGCCTCCCAAAGTGCTGGGATTACAGGTGTGACCCACTGTGCCTGGCCTCGTCCATTTACACTTCTGTTAACACTGATACATTTGTGCTTAATTCATCCTTTTACTATTTTTGTTTGTCCTATTTATGTTTTTTTCCCTCTGCCTGTCTTCCTTTGCATGATAAATTTTTTTTTCAATTGTTATAGATTCTTAAACAGTTCTTTCATGGTTACCATAGAGATTACAACATATAGCCTTGTATTGATATCTTACCATAGAGATTACAACATATAGCCTTGTATTAATATTATCTTACCATTTCTAAGACAATGCAAGGAGCATAGAACCCTTTAAATTCATTTACCCTCCTCTCAGTTTCTGTGCATTTTTTATTAAAAAATTTTTATTTTATATATACTAATAACCACGATAGCCTACTGTTGACCGGAAGACTTACTGATAACACTAATAGTCAATTAACACATATTTTGTATGATATATTATATACTGTATTCTTCAAAATGCAAGCTAGAGAACAGATTATTTAAAAATTCATAAAATATATTTACTGTTAAGTGGAAGTGGATCATTGTAAAAATCTTCATCCTTATCTTCACATTGAGTAGGATGAGGAAGAGGAGGGGTTGGTATTGCAGTCTTGGGCATGGCAGAGTAGAAGGAACTGTACAGATGCACCCATGCAGTTCAAACCATCGTTCAAGCGTTAAGTGTATAAAATAAACAGCACAAACACATATCTCACAAATCTTTATTACTATTGATTTATGTAGTCAATATTTGTATGTAAACATATATATATATATATATATTTTTTTTTTTTTTTTTTTTTTTTTTTTTTTTTTCCCGTAGCTCCTTTTCTTCTGTTCCTGCATCTCTGAGTTTCCATTTGGGATCATTTTCCTTTTGCATTCTATTTCATATTACCTCCAGTGCAGGTGTGCTGCTGATAAATTCTCTTGGTTGTGTGTCTGAAAGTATTTCATCTTCATAGAGGATATTTTAATAAGAAATTTTAATTCTAGGTTGGCACCTAATTTTTTTTAACAGAACTTTGAAAATATTCCACTGGTTTGTTTCTTGAGAAGTCAGAAGTTTTATTGTTAGTCCTTTAAAGGAAACATTTTTATCATCTCTAGCTGCTTTTCAGAATTTTTCTTTAATTTTCAGTAATGCCATTGTGATATACCTAGGGGCATGTGTGTGTCTGTGTGTGTGCATGCACATCTATCTTTTTTTGTGTTTTGCAGTGATTTTTGAGTCTGAGACTCAATGTCTTTCATCAGTTTTGAAACACTCTCAGATGTTATTTCTTCATATTGATTCTGCCCATTCTCTTTCTCCTAGGATTCTAATACTTATAGGTTGGAAAGATTCACTATGTCCCATAACTTTCATATTCTTTTATACACATTTTCCATTTCTGTGACCTTCACTATTTCAGTTTGGGTTTTCTTCAGACCTGTCTTTCAGTTTACTGTTTCTTTAGCTAGATTCTAATATGATCTTAAACCCATCCATTGAGTTATACATTTCAGTTATTATATTTTTCAGTTTTAGGATATTGATTTAATTCTTTTGCCAAAATTTTCCACCTCGTCATTTATTTTAGATATATTAATTATAGAGTATTTATTTCCCCAAAGTTCATGTCTGATAATTACAACATTTGGATTACCTGAGGATCTCTCTACAGTTACTAAAAACCAAAAAGAAGAAACAAAAGATTCTTGTCTATTGTGTGTTCTAGTTGATTTTGATTGAGTACCAGATACTGAGTTTAC